ACAAAGCAGCCACCTCTCCAAGACTTGGGATATCACCTTGTCTTGGGGGGCCACCATGTGTTAAGTCTCAGGGACTCTCTACAGAACTACCTTTTCTTCAGTTCATGGACCTCCCCCCAACTCCACAAAAAAAAAAAATATATAGAATTTCCTTCACTGCTGAAGTAATAGCTTCTGAGTACTTTTTTATTTTTAATTCTAAAGTCTTTTCTCTGTTTTCCCAATTGCAAAGGTAAATGAGATCATTTAAAACATATGGGAACATGTCAGGGGAGGGAAGTGAAAAAACTCTCACTTGTCGCCCACGTGACTTTCCAAGGCTTCACCCACCCAGGCCTTGACTCACTGGGGCTGTCACGGCCTCCTGTTGGACTTCTGGATGACACACCTGGCAGGCCTGGCAAATGTCCTTATAAGGCCGCCTCCCTGGCCTGCGTTTCAGGAGGCTGTGAAGCAATGTCCCCGAGCCGGGAAGGGCAGGGAGCAGCTTGCTCCTAATTAGCTGCAGCTCCACTCAAGCGGCCCTGCTTCCCTTTCTGTGCTTTTGAACATGAGAAATCTTAACTACAAAATAACCTTAAAAGCAAAGCCATTTATTTCCATGTGATACATTTAGCAACAAATGTTGAGCATTAAGTACTCTGTGCCCGGCACTTAAATCTCACCTGGCCACTCTTTACAGGAAAGGGGAGAGATGCAGGCACAGTGCTGAGCTTCAAGGTGCCTGGGATCCAAAGTTACATTTTCTCATTTTGTGTGTTTGTGAGGCCCTGAGGGTCCATCCAGGTCCCAGGACTTGGGAAGGGAGGGTAGAATGGGGGAGGGATGTTGAACATTTAATGGCATATGTACCAAACACAGTGCTTTACATTTGTTTCCTATTTAATCCTTGCAGTGACCTGTGAATTAGGTGTTTAGGATGATACCGGAATTTCCCTGGAATGACTGCTCTAGTTTATCTTGCTTTTCTCTAGATCCCAAAGTCAGCCAAGGTGATGCTCCTTAAGTTATTTACATTTTAACTTCAAAGGGTGTTTTCTGCTTCAACCTTAGTCCTTACAGCTCTGATCAGTCACCAAGACGTCCTTCCAACTCCAGTAACCAAATAAACTGCCCTGACCAATGGCAAAGGCTCAACTCCCCAGACTAGTCACCCCTGCCAGGAATCCTGGAGCCCAAAGGGGATGGGAGGAATCCACCTGCCCACCTCGCCCATCACAAGAGATGGGGAGACCCCAGCACCTTCCATAACTTCATCTCAGGGCTCTCAGTTCACACCCCCATGCCTCCTCCTGCAGTCAGTTAGCTCAGGATCCAGCTTCTGTGCTGAGAAGAGGACCCAAAGTCAAGTCGATGCCAGGATCTTCACCTCCTGGATCTTCACCCTCTTTGGAGAAGAGGTGCTGCAGACACAGACATCTTTCTGACCCAGACTAGGTTAATTCCCCCTGTGATGTGCTCCTCCTAAATCCTCTTTTGTGGCTCTTAGCACACATTTCTCTTTTGGACAGCCAGGAGGCAATTCTGCTGGAAGGACAGGGGGCTTAGCTAGACGGCTTCCCTGCGTCTGAAACGCTGACCACTCTGCCCTCTGCAGTGTCCCTCGTCCTCATCTCCCTCCTCCTTCCTGCCGCCTGCCTCTGACCACAGTGCTCCCCTCGCAGCTCCTTAAACACACAAAGCCAGAACTGCTGGATAGTGTACAGGAGTCTAGTCAAATACAATTCAGATAAACAGTGAACAACTGTTTTAGTGTAAGTATGTCCCAACTTGTATTATTCATTGTTTCTCTGAAATTTAATTTTAATGGGGTGTCTAAAGTTTTTCCTCCTCCTCCTCTTTTTAGTCTTCTCCTTTTCATCTTCCTCCTCCTCCTCCTCATTTTCCTTCTCCTCCTTCTCCTTCTTCTTCCTAAATTCAGTGACTGTGTCACACTTATTCCCATCGCTGGAGAGGTCCTTCCCTGGCGGTGGCGAATCTCCCTCCTCACTGGACTCTGGTTCCTGCCCAAGTATTTTCTTCAGGGAGGCCTCACGGGCCACCGCATCCCAAACAGCAGCGCCCAGACCCCCGTCCCCATTCCCCCTCCCCTTGTTTTCCTCAGAGGCTTATTTTGCCGGACTTTACAATGGACATTGGCTTTTTGTTTGTCTCCCCACTGGTATGATTGCATCATGAAGTCAGACACTCACATCTGTTTTGTTCACTACCATTTCCCAGTATCTAGAACAGGGCTTGAAATAGACCAGTCACCCCAAACCATTTGTTGAATGAATGGAATGTTCTGCATAATCAGGAGAGAAGAATTTTAAGTTTCCCAGTCAGGCCAAGAAAGAGAAGGAGGCCCTGATGAAAGAAGGGGAAGAGTGAGGAGGGGAGAGAGGAGGAGAGAGGGCACATTGCAGGGCCTTTCTCGGGCTGCAGGCGAGCTCAGAAGGGCGTGGAGTCCGCGTAGGCAGCTAGATCACCGCGCGCAGTAGAGTTGCGGAACTTGAGTTTTGCCACACCACTCAAAAGTTGAGTCTGGGCTTCACAACTTGCCAGCTGTAAGGCTTTTAAGCATTGAATTCCCCTCTCTAGGCCTCGTTTTTCCTGTCTGTTAAATGGAAATAACACTATTACCCACGTCAGAGAGTGTGGGAGGCATAAATGAGACAGTGTGTGTAAAGCATTTCACACAAAGTCGGGCACCTGGCAAGTGTGTTCTAGAAAACAGCTGTTGCCTCTAACAGCCTATTCCTCTTGATGATGAAACACACGGCGAGTGCCTTTTTGATTTCGCTGACTCTCAGTTGATGACCATTGTTCAATAGAAACAGGATTTTTAACTCGGGGTTTTGTTCCCCATAGTCACTGCAATCCACAACAGTGATTGGAAATAGCAGCAGTGCGCGCCTGAGCCGGGAGAGACCAGCGCGCTTACCTGCCCGCAGAGTGACCGCTCCCTCGGCAGGGTTCAAACGCAGCCACCTCACAGAGACGCGTCTCTGCAGTCAGGGGGCCTCAGGTTTCTAGGGAATAGTCGAAGCTGCAAGTGTTAAAGCCGGGGCGTCAAGGGCGCATGTCACTGAGCACACAGGGCTTGGTGCGGCCATGGACGCTGTGACGTGCTGGCTCTGTGAGTCTGGGCGCCGCTTAACCCCGCGGCCTCACATTCTTCCTGTGGAAAACGGGATGATATTTCCCGATTTGTCTTTCTTACAGATTTGGATGATGATAAAATGAAAGAGGGCATGACAAAGAGTTTTGGCAATCCTGTGCTACTATATAAAGCCCAGGATCACCATGATGTCATCAGCATTGTCCGCAGGGGTCCCGACTGGCTGGCTGTGGATCCCCCGGACAGGTCGCCTGGACCTCTTGGTGTCACCCACGCCCTCTACCTCATAGACACACACCCTCTTCCCGGCGCCAGGATAAAATACTTCTCAGTGATGTGTCTCCGTGGGGTTAAAATGACACAAGGCACTCATACCAAGAGCTCCGCCACTGCATTCCCGAGACAGGCCAGCTCGTGACTGCCAGATGTGCAAAGGCAGGAAATTAGCAGCAGGTCTGAGTAAACATCTCTGCTCGTTAGTAACTGGCTAGGCTTTCAAGGACTGAACACCACCTATGAAAAGTCCCACGGTCCCCAGTTTGAGCAGCCTCCAGCCCTTCTCTGATCCCAGCCTCAGCGTTTCTGGGGAGTTCTCTGGTGGCAACACGCTGCAGGGGCCAAAAGATGCACCCTGACACAGGCAGGCAAAGCCAGGAGGTACCTGCGCCTGGGGCCTCAGCCTGCGGACCCAAGGGTCTGGCCCAGCCTGGAAAGCCAGGTAGCCTCTGAGAAGCCACTTTCCTTTCTCTCATTTGCATGCTCATTGGCCAGAGCTGTCCTCCAGCCACAGCACGCAGGATCCTTGCCTCGGGTCCTGGAATTTCATATATTTATGAGAAAAATTAACCAAGTGACTTCTATACACCTTGTACTAGGTGCTAGGAATTCATCAGTCAACAAAACAGATTTTGAATTTCTCTCCTTTCCTGAAAGTTACATCCTAGTGAGGGAAGGACAGAAAAGAAACATCAACTAGTTTATGAACTGTGTTAGCAGATGGCCTGGAAATGTGTTACATACATGACTTGGAACATTAGCAGCGTAGGGAGAGTAGCAATGAGAGCAGGGTGTAGGGAGCAGTGGGATTCATCTTAAACGGGGGACTCAGGACCGGTTCATGGAGAAGGTACCACCTGAGGAGGCAGAAAGGAGGCAGGCATCTGGGAGAAAAGGATTCCAGGCAGGGAGGGGAGCAACCAAGCAGAGACCCGAATGGCTTCGCCACTGCCCGGTGTGCTCAAGGACGGAGGAGAGCAGTGACTGGAGCTGAGTGAGTCAGGGAAGCAGCGATGTGGGAAACTAGCAGCTGGGGTGTGGACAGCAATCCCGGGATGCAGCAGCAGGAGAAAAGAGGCTCAGACCCACTGGGGGCAACGGCCAACTTTGGTTTGGGGGACCCTGATGCTTATGTAATTTAGGGAAGCCTACTTTGAGGAAAAAAGTATAAAATTACGAGTACAAAAATAGGCACAGCATTTTGGACCTGCAAGGAAGGGGCCCTGAAGCAGGTTCCCTAGCTTCCTGCCTGGGGAGCAGTGGACCTGAGGGCTGTTCTTGGGATCCGCCCAGCGGGGCCACTCGCTCCCAGGCAGCAGCCCTCCCGCCCTTCCTGCCCTACAGAACTGTCCCCAGTGACTTCTTTTTGTGACTTCTTTCCCCATTGCAGACTTTCTGTTTCATGGATCTCCAGAGACTTTTCATAGATAGAAATGGGACAGACTGAGGAGCAGAGGGTGTGTCCCAGACCGGCCATGTGGGTCAGCCTCCAGCCTGCAGGGGTGACAGTGATGGTGAGGACAGACAGGGAAGTCCCTCCGAGGAGGGGAAGGACAGGAATCACTTCTCCCCAGAGCGCAGCGCTTGGTGGTTCCATCCACTCGAGGGCAAGGCCCACACTCACCATATGGGAGGCTGAGGCTCCTCCTCTAGATGCCCCTCTGTGACCCTTCGGGGAGCTGCTTCCACAGGCTGGCGCTCTCTCTCTCTCTCCAGCTGGCTGGGAGAGCTCCACCCGGGGAGGCCCAGGCTGCTCTGGAAACCCGAAGGGGTGAGGACCGGAGCAGAGCATGCAGGAGGAGAGAAGGAAAGAAATTATTTAGGGCTGCTGAGGGGCCTGATTAAATACTCAAATTAACATTCTTCCTTTCTTTCTCTCTCTCCCCTTCCCCTCTTCCTCTCTCTTTCTTTTTCATCTTTTATTCTTCTTTCCCTTTCTTCTATCCCCTCCTCCTTCTTACCCTTCTCCTTCTTCTCGTCCTCTTCCTTCTTCTTCCTTTCTCTCTTCCACCCTCTTCCTCTTTCTTGCTCATAAGAAAATATGGCATTTAAAAGTAGCCGGTGTGGTATGTCTTTTCCAATTATAAAAAAAAAAATCATGATACTTGTCTTAAAGTTGCCTGCTGCTATCTTGTCTAGGTGGAGACATTTAAACAATTTTGGATATAATATGGGAATTTTGATTGATTCTTTAAAATGGGTTCTTGTTGTAATAGAATCTTTTGCCTTCTGGAATGAAGAGGTCAGTCAAACAAGAAGCACAGTGTAGCTGCTATAGGTAAAGTTTTATTACGGGCTCTGTGGGGGAGTCAAGGCCTTGACTCCACAGTGACTTCTCCAGGAGTTTTCCAGCTGGCGTGAAGCCCGCGCTGCTGCCTCGGGAAAGCTTTTGACAGCGGCGTCGCGTCACTTCTCCACCGCGCTCTTGACGGACTTCTTTTCTTATTTGCTATGTTTTCCCTCCACCTACACCCAAGACCTCAACCACCTCCTGTGAAGCTTTCAATGCCGAATCCCTGTCTCCAGTCAGGTCTTCGGCCATCCCGCACTTGGTTCTCCAAGACGCGGGGGGACGCAGGCCCACCGCCTCCAGTCCCCGTTCCGCACGCCGTCGGGGGGCCTGCCTACAGCACGCGCGTCCGGCCAGCAGCGCCACCTGCACAGGGGCCTGCGTGAGTCATCGTCATCCGGAGGAGGTCCAAACATTTGTACACGTAACTCATTTTTCAAATAAAATACCATATTGAATACCAATAGAAGAAACAGATGAAAAGTTATTTTATTGGGTAACATGTACTTTATAGGCATTCTTTTATAACATTTGCCTGTTATAAAGCCAACCACTCTGAATAAGGCGGCTATTTGGAAAGGCATAAACATGGGACATTCGTGGTCATGAATGCATTTGCAGTTTTGTACCTGCCTCGGCATCCAGTTTATTCCCATATTTGTTCCTATCACCCAGTGGTGAGGAAGTTTGACTCACAGAGATAAATAATGAAACTAGCAACATCTTTACTTTTTATTTTCACACAGCTTGCCTTGCGGTCCCAGGGTGTTCTCAAGTTCACAGATCCAGGACCTTGAATGCAGAGTAGGAGGAACTTTTATTCTGATGTTAAATCATTAACAGTATCTAACTGCTGTCGTTGCTTACGTTGAACGTAAAGGTCACAGTTTCGTGTGTAAAAATCGAAAGTAGCCCAGGCTGTGGACGGGCCCTCACTCAGCATCATCCTGACTCCCCAGCACACAGCTGCTCAGTCTTCCACACTGTGTTTGTACAATCAGTGTGAGAGGACAGGTACAAGCCCGAACTTTAAGAAATCAGCCACTGAGCGCTGCAGTTATTTTACTCAGTGACACCTTTATTAAATATTTGACACCATGGATCAAGTTAGGAGAAAAACATCAATTTTTTTCTGTTTGTATCAAAAAGCATGTGCCTGGAAGCATGAATTAATGCATGGGTAGTCTCTAGTATGTGAAAATTTGCTCCAAAGCACATGTGATTGTGTTGATATAAGACTGCAGTTGGTTTCTTAATCGTTCAAAGTGCATATTTTGAGTAGCTTTAAAAAAATATTTTATTTTTTAAACAGAAAATCATGGACCTAGTCCAAAAGTCAAAAGACCCAGAAGGATAGTTAGTGACAAAGCCATCTCCCTCTACCTTGTCCCCAACTGCGCTGTTCTCCTGGTGGTGCCCTCCACTGTTACCTGTGCTTCAATTTGGACCTTGAGGCAAGGAGGTAAAAGCAGCTGTTTATGTGGGAGGAGCTCCCGGGTGACTCCTGTGGGAGGCTGTGGGCAGGCGAGTGGGAAGGGAGGATGGCCAACAAAGGGAAGGTCACTGAATGGATATCATGGACGGCCGGAGCGTAATTCCACTGGAGGACTCTGGGAGCCTGCATGGGACGTGTGGCTCAGTTATTTCTCCCAAGGGGAATTGAAGCTGGGTTTTTATGACCAGCTGCATTGTTTGAGGTCTGTGGGACGCAGGCAAGCAGCCACAGGGCCAAACACAGTGGATTCTGGTGACCAGAGAACACTCTCAGAGAAATACAAGGCCTGGCAGTTTAAAGCACACAGGTGTGCATTGAAATGTTAAGCAGCAGGAAGAAAGGGCAGGGCACCCACAGCATTGTCTACAATATTCCTCTAAAAACACTTTGAAAGAAATTTGAACCAAATATCTGCAGCAACCCATTCACGTGGCCCAGGCCTGTGAATGTCAGGCTTCCACAGAGCCTGGTCTGAAGGTCATTGGCATTCATTTTCACAGCAAACTCAGCCTTCTGGGATCTTGCTTTTGTAACCACTTCTGGCTCCTTTCCTGACTTAATCTTAGTCAAGTTTTCACCCAGGACTACAGCCGATCCGTCCTGGCAACCTCTGGACGTCCCAGGTACAGCGCACATCCCTGCCTCTGCCCATGAAACTCCCTTGGTCTGGGAGCACCTTTCCCTTCCTCTCACTTGCCAAAGACTACTTGTTCTACCAGATTCAGGTGACTGGAAAGAACAATGTTATTTTTTAACGGAGAAGAGGGCTCGCCAAGATGGTGTTTAGTACGGTGTCTGGCAGAGACTCCTCTCAGGAGTAATCGTCTGCCTACCCATCTGCCTGCCCTGCCATCTCCCCATCTGTCTGAGGCCTGAGGCGCCCTCCCCATCACCCCTGGAGAGACTGGGATTCCCCTGTGCTCGCTGACCCGGCACCCGGGGCTCATCTATTGAAGTGATGTTTGCCCGTCTCCAACTGTGCCGGGAGCTTCTCCAGAACAGGAAGCAGGCTTTGCTCATCTCTGAACTCCTATTACTTGGCACAGGGCAGGGTGCACAGCACGCCTGAGCAAATGCTTTTGAGTAGAATCGAACTGAAGGCACTGCGTGGTGCCCCTTTTCTGCAGTGTTGGTAGGAATTCTGAGGAAGGAGAGATTGCTGCACACAGGATGGCCCACGAAGGTTTGTCGGGTGGGCCTATATAAGGCACACCCACACGTAGACATCACCGCCTCCTTCTTACTGGGAGCTGGTTCTTTAATTTGCACGCAAGATTGTTTCTGCTCTTTCCTTTTTTTTTTTTACTTGTTCAATGCATAGTCAGCCAGTCACTTGATCCGTGAACATTTTCTGAGTCCCTACCATGTGTTGGGTGCTATTCTAAGGGATGGGGACCCGGGGTGTGCACAACTAGAGGAGATCTTGTTTCACAGAGCTTATGTCCCCTTGGAAGGTGTCGGATGGTATAGAATGGAATATTCCTGTGGGCTGGCCCGCTGTTGCTGGCAGGATCTGAATGACCTGGAACTAGCAGGGCTCACCAGGGCTTGGCTGACAGAACCTTCAGGCAGTTCTAGGTAGAGGCCCAGATGGAGACATCCCAGTGGGGGGAAGGAGCCAAAGGCGATAAGGAACAGCTGTCACTGAAAAGCATTGAATTTTGTGTGTGGCCGAAGACATGTAAACCTCAGTCACTACTGGTAAAAATCTGCTGTCTGGGATGCAAGAGTCAAGTTGCAGTTTGCATGTGTTGATGATCGACCAGTGTGGACCATGGAGGCAACCATTTACTTGGGACTAATTGTAGACACAAAAGAAGTTGGAAAAAACAGTGCAAAGAGGTCCTGTGTGCCCTTCTGCCAGTTTCCTCCAGTGGTGACAATGGCGTAGCTACAGAACAACGTCACAGCCAGGAGAGTGACATCAGCCCAAAGCCCGGGTCTTATTCGGATTTCACTCCCTTTGCACATGAGTCTGTGCCATCTCACCACGCATGTAAATTTGTGTAATGACCAGCACAATCAAGACACAGAACTGTCTGTCACCAAAAAGATGGCCCTGTTTTACACGTCGTCCCTAACCCCTGGCTGCTGTGGACTCTGGAATGTTCTAGATACATTCTAGATGAGTCTTTTGACATGTATGCGATCTGCATGTGTCTTCTACTAGTCTGTGGCATGTCTTCCTATCCTCCTCGCAGGGTCTTTTGTAGAATAAAAGATATTAATTTTGATGAAGTACAACTTAGCAGTTTTTTCTTTTATGGATTGTGCTTTTTAGTATCATTCTTAAGAACTTTTTGCCTTGTTTTACAGCCTAAAGATTTTCTGTTTTATTCTAAAAAAACTATCCTTCCTCCATTGAGTATCTTTGATTCTTTGTCAAAAATCAGTCAGCTGATTTTATATCAGGTTTATATATACATATAAAACCTTATAGATCAGGGGTGTTAAACTCATTTTCACCAGGGGCCACGTCAGCCTTGTGGTTGCCTTCAAAGGGTCGAATGTAGAGCTCCTTGCCCCTAGTTAAGGAGTAGTTATACTTATACAGTCCTAAAATTACCTTTGGCCCTTTGAAGGCAACTGCAAGGCTGATGTGGCCCCCGGTGAACATGAGTTTGACACCCCTGCTCTAGATCAGTGATCAGTTTGGGGAGAGTTTACATCTTCACCAGGTTGACTCTTCGATACCCGTAAATGGTCTGTTTTTTCCTTTATTCACATCTTCCTTAATTTGTTTAATCAGCATCTTGTAGTTTACAACAGACGGGTCCTATACATGTTTTATTAGAATTACGTGTACATATTTTATTGAGGGGTGCTATAGATGGTATTGCGCTTTTAATTTTGGTTTCTACATGGTCATTCATAATACATAGAAATACAATTTATTTTTGAATGTTGATTTTGTATCTTGTGGACTCGCTAAGCTGTTAGTTCTAGGAGTGTTTTTGTT